GAGGTCTTATAGAACCGAGCTATGGATTGAATCCATAGCTCGGTTCTTGGCTGCACAGACCTTTCAGAAAGCCCTGTGACTGAGAAATGCAGGCCTGGCTGCAGAAGAGACCTTAGAAGAAGAAATGGGCCGGCAAGGAAAGGCCTCCCCACCCTCACCCTAGCTTGATTTTTAGGTATATGTCTTGCCCCAAAATTAGGGCTTATTTTTGGGATAGGGCTTATTAGGCCCACCCCCAAAAACCAAGCTTGGGCTTATTGTTGGTGTAGGCCTTACTTTCAGGGAAACACAGTAGTCAATGAGTTCCTTACTTGAAAAGGACACATATACATGGAATATGGAATGTATCCATTGTAATCCAAACCAATTTAACATTTGCATCCATACAGGTAGTCCTCGGCTTACGACTACAGTCAAGTCCAGAATTTCCATTGCTAAGCAAGGTGTTTCTTAAATGAGTCATGCCCAATTCTGCAACCTTCTTTGCCACAATTGTTAAGCAAATCACTGCAGTTACGTGAATTATGTGGTTGTTAAATGAATCAGGTTCCCTCTATTGTCTGTTTGTCAGAAGCTGACTGGGAAGGTCGCAAATGGCAATACATAACCCCAGAATGCTGCAACTGTTGTAAATGAGGGTGAAGGTTCGTCCTCCAAACTTGTGGGTTGGTTTCCGAACATCTCATTACCAGTCTAGGTAACATCTTCAGCAGAGTTTAGGGGATGTCAGTGTCGATGGTCTTCTGTTTATAAGGGCTTCAGGTGTGGGTGTGTCAAGTGAGGGTCTTGTGATGGGTCAGGTGTGAGTCATCAGTGAGAAGCTTGTGATGGATCTTGCGATGGGGAGGTTACATCAGGTCAGCATCATTGGGAGGTGAAGTGCTGGTGGGGGGAGGAGGGGGCTTGCTCTCCCTGGTTGGGTGTGTGGATGATTTTGATTCTGAGAGGTTCGTAGGCTGGTTGTAGGTCGATGCGCCTGTTGATGGAATTGCTTGTGGATTGCCAGACTTTGATGAACTCACGAGCGTGGTGAGTGGTAGTGTGGCTAATAATTTTGGTGTTGCTCCAATGAAACTGGTGCTGTTTAGTGTTGGTGTGAATGGAATGGAATGGAACGGAAGGGAACAGAACAGAACCTTGGAAGTCTTCTAGTCCAGCCCCCTCCTTGATTTTTGTCACAGAGACTACCACTGCAAAATACTTTCAGATTTGCTGACTTGATAATTTAAATGCAAAAATATGTCTTGCAAAGCTAGAATTCTGTGCTGATTCTCCTTGTAACAGGGACAGTTAAATTCCTTCAGATCAATTAATTAGTTTAATATTGCAGACAGGGTCATATGTATTTTGGCTACTATGCTAGTTACTGGAATCCCTGATTCCTAGATGACACAGAAACACATTTTTCTGTCATTATATTTGTTTTACTTTTCTCTTTAAAAGATTCCATGAGGTAGACCTTGAATGAGTGTTGGTTACACGTAACAAAATTTCTCCTGCTGTTTACTTGGCAATAGATTGTTGTAGAATTGTTTAGCTTAATTGAACTAGATTTTCTAATGATAAGACTTGATTATTTGCTTTCCCCCCACCTATTGTAAATGTTGATACTCTGTGCTTACTCAGAAGCTTTCAGAAATATATGAGTGTTTCAAATCTGACTTCAATACAGAATGTTTGACTTATATACAGTATAAGTAGTTTTGTTCAGGGTAGAAAGAAGGGAGACTGAGCTCCAAAATTGAAAAAGACAGATAAATTGATTTATAATTTCAGTCACTAAAACCGCCCGCTTGCATAACTAGGAATTTCTTTTGGATTTTGCTATTTTTAGCAATATATTAAAGACATTGAAATCTGTTTTATGTCAGGTCATATTTAAATAATAATAATAATAAAGTTGGAAGGTACCTTGGAGGTCATCCAACCCCCTGCTCAGGCAGGAAACCCTATACCATTTCAGACAAATGGCTGTCCAGTCTCTTCTTAAAAACTTCCAGTGTTGGAGCATTCACCACTTCTAGAGACAGATTGTTCCACTGATTAATTGTTCTCACTATCAGGAAATTTCTCTTTAGATCTAGGTTGTTTCTCTCTTTGGTTAGTTTCCTTCCGTTGCTTCTTGTCCTGCCTTCAGGTGCTTTGGAGAATAGCTTGACCCCGCCTTCTTTCTGGCAGCCCCTGAGATATTGGAAGACTGCTATCATGTCCCCCCTCATCCATCTCTTCATTAGACTAAACATTCCCAATTCCAGCAACCATTCATTAGTACTCAATACTTCCTGATCATTTCCTAAAAACATATGAAGAAATGTTGTAGGAATTGGTATGGCTAATCTAGAGAAAAGAAGAACTAGGAATGACATGATAGCAGTATTCCAGTATTTTGAGGGCTGCCAAAAAGAAGAGATCAACTTATTTTCCAAAGCCCCAGAGAGCAAGACAAGAAATAATGGAAACTAATCAAAGGAGAGAAGCAACCTAGAATTAAAGAGAAATTTCCTAACACTGAGAACAATTAATCAATGGAATGGCTTGTCTTCAGAGGTTGTGGGTGCTCCATCATTGGAGGTTTTTATGAAGAGACTGGACAGCCACCTGTCTGAAATGGTTTCCTGTTTGAGCAAGGGGTTGGATTAGAAGACTTCCAAGTTCCCTTCCAGCTCTATTCTGATTAAACTACTGTGAACTAACCTATTGAGACTCTAGCTCAGGGGTCTTCAAACTCGGCCCTTTTATGCTGGCTGAGGACTTCTGGGAGTTGAAGTCCATGAGTCACAAAAGGGCCGGGTTTGAAGACTCCTGCCCTAGTTTAATATCCTTAATGAGGTGTGGGTGAGAGCAGCTAATCAAGAAAACCACAATAGAGCAAAAAGAGAAGATAAGTGGAGGGGAAAATTCTCAGTAAGCATTTCTAAGAGTTTGTGTTATGGTGTTATTATCAGAGGAAAAAGAAAATACCATCAGTAGCTGATTGATTAGTTCATTCACCATCTATTAACTTCCGGCAATAAATTAACTTAGTGCTGAGCTTGCTGTACCTTTCAAAAATTAATTTGTTATATACTACGGTGCTAAAAAGTTTGTGTACCCTTTTGACATTTCAATATTTCTGCATAAATGCAATCTAAAATATAATTGGTTCTCCACACAAGTCCTAAAACTAAATAAAAAAGAACCCAGTTAAACCATTGAGTCAAGAACATTCTATTTGTTCATTTATTTATTGAAGAAAATAATCCAAAGCTTCATATCTGTGGGTGGCAAAAAGCACCACATATGTAGCTGAATCAAAAATGTAGTTATTTGGGGAGGGGCAAACCTATTTATTCATTTTGTTTACTTACAAAATTTATAAATTTTAAAAATAAAATAAAATATCCAGAATTCATATTATATTGTTTTCAAAAGTAGCAAACTTAGAATTCTAGTCATATTCAAACAGTTAATTTGATCATCATGAATACATAATAACTGCCTTAAATCTCACACATCTTTCTTTTACCTTTTGGTTTCTGTGCAACAAGAAGATATCTCTTAGCCATCTTTCTTGCTGATTTTACCATTTCATTTCATAGGCCAGGATCTCAAATGCTGGAATCCCACTTTAGGATCCTGAAATGGAAATGGGACATGCTCCATATTCTTAAAAGAAGCCATGGGCCCTTATTCCTCAATTGAGCCTTTGAGATTCACAGTTTTATGATTTTGCCTATTCTCTTTGATCCATAATCCTCAGAACAGGGAGAAGGGAATGAATTAGGAAGCTTTCACAGCATAGAGTTGGAGAGGCTATCTATTCAAGTGAGCACAGAGGTGATTGGGGCAGGCTCTGGGCCTCCCCCCCAAAAAATCCTGAATAAAGGCCTCTCTGTTTCCAAAGGCAGGATCTCTTTAAGAAGAGATTGGACAGCCACTTATCTGGAATGCTATACGGTAAGGGTGTCCAATCTTAGGAACTTTGGGATTTGTCGACTTCAATTCCCAGAATTCCCCAACCAGCATGGCAGGTTGGAGAATTCTGGGAATTGAAGTCCACAGGTTTTGAAGTTCCAGGGTTGGACACCCCTGGTATAAGGTCTCCTGCTTAAGCAGGGGTTTGGACTTAGAAGATTTCCAAGATCCCTTCCAATTCCATTTAGCTGTTAAGGTTATTTTTCCTGAATACTGTTAATTGATTCCCTCATCCCTGCAATAAAAAAAGGGGGGGGCAACAAAGTCTCAGTCTTCTGCCACATTTAAGGGATTCCAGGCTCTGTGCCGTAGAGAAAAATTCTGACTTCCTAGGTTGTATGGGTGACTCTCATCAGTCTTCAGATCTTGGTACAAATTATGACCTATAGCCATTCCTTACCTACCAAGAATATAGCATTGTTTCACCTATGGAAATGATGAATTAAAAAGAATCCTAGGAGGATTTATATGAGTTAATGTATGAAGAATCACCAGGATCATTTCCTGGGTAACCATTACTCAAAAAGCTGCATTTATGCAATAAATAGAGATGTACTCCTATTGATCCAAGTGACACTGATAAAGGCTGTTGGCAAGGGCTGTGCTCTTAAGACCTAGCCATCTGGAGCTAGCTGCAGCTACATCATATAGGTTTTCTGTATTTAACCTATCAGTTTTTTGAATCCACCCTCTCTCTCTGCCTCCCCCCCCCCCAGCTTCTCCACTAGTGTGTCAAATGAATTGCAATCAAACACCCATCAGGAGAACAAATGGCTGCATTTGATATGACTGGCTTCAGCAGTGCAGTTAGATGAGAAATTATATGTTGGCTTCAGCATTTTTCACCCTTCCATTTAGCAAGTGCATTTAGCTTGAAAAGGGCTGGTTGCTTCATGTTAAAATTGGGGATTGGTGGAGTGGGGAAATCTTATCTTGACTTTGCTTATCAGGAAAAAAATAATTAGAGACTTGAGTATGTTTATGCTAAGTCTTTCATTCCCATAACATGTTGACATCTGACTTGCAATGTGTTTTTGTTCTTGCAGATACAATGCAACAAGTAGCCAAAACAGTGGCAAAGGTAGAGCTGTCAGACCATGTATGTGATGTCGTGTTTGCCCTTTTTGACTGTGATGGTGAGTATCCTCTATTTACCTGAAGTCTCACTCATATAAGAGAAAAACAGAATAACACGTTCGTAGAGACCTTGGAGATCTTCCAGACCACTCCCCTGCTCAAGCAGGAGACCCTACCATTCCAGACATGGTTGTCCAATCTCTTCTTAAAAGCCTCCAGTGATGGAGCACCACAGCTTCTGAAGGCAAGCCATTCCACTAGTTAATTGTTCTCACTATTAGGAAATTTCTCCTTAGTTCTAGGTTGCTTCTCTTCTTGATTAGTTTTCATCCACTGTTTCTTGTCTTGCTTTGAAAAATAGGTTGATCCCCTCTTCTTTGTGGCAGCCCCTCAAATATTGGAACATTGTTATCATGTCACCCCAATCCTTCTTTTCACTGGACTAGACCAGGGCTTTTCAACCTTTTCACCGATTGTACCACTTTTAGAATATGGCAATATCCGAGTACCACCAGTCGCCTAGCAAGGTGTCAAAAACTTGATGACCAAAAAAAAAAAAAAAAGGAAAAAAGTGATAAAGTACAGGTAGTCCTCGACTTACAACAGTTCGCTTAGTGACTGTTCGAAGTTACAATGGCACTGAAAAAAGTGCCCCCCAATGCACAGCTGAGCAAGACACCTGCCTGCCCACCCGGCGGCACTCTCATTCCCCTCCCCCGCTACCACTTTTCTAGGATAGTTGCGTACCACCTGCCAGGTGCCAATGTACCACAGGTGGTACCCGTATCACTGGTTGAAAAGCCCTGGACTAGACAAACTCAATTCTGCAACTGTTCTTTGTATGATTTAGCTTCCAGCCACCTAATTATCTTTGTTGCACTTCTCTGCAATATTGTATTGAGATCAGTGGGGAGCCGGGTTCAAAAGCCCTCTCAACTCCAAAGATCACAAGGTGACCTTGGAGCATTCACCTTCATTCAGCATTGCAGGATTGACAAGCCAAGGCTATGTGGATGGGAGCCCATCCTCATAGCCATGTTAGATGTTTTCTCCTATCCTTTCAACCATTGGCAAAGTTTATTTATTTATTTTATTTATGGGACTTATATACCGCTTTAAGTGCAAGCACTCTCTAAGCGGTGTACACCAGTAAGCAATGTATATATATATATTTACATTGCCCCCAACAATCTGGGTCCTCATTTTACCTCCCCTGGAAGGATGGAAGGCTGAGTCAACCTTGAGCCGGTGAGATTTGAACCGCTGACCTGCTGAACACAGTCAGCTAAAGTGGCCTGCAGTACTGCACACTAACTGCTGCGCCAACTTTATGCTTCAGACATACATACATAGTATAGTTGAGGTAGTTTCACGGATAGCTTCTCTGCTATCCATACTGCTCCATCCAGCAATTAATTCCTCTGGCAAGAAAAATAACCACCAAGTATTCTCCCAGGATTAATGGGTACTCCCTATCAGTTCATCCACTGTCCTTCTTGAGTTCCATCAGCCAATCAACTGGAATATTTTCTAATCAATTCAGGAGTTTTTTTTTAATCAACTCAGGTTCATTGTTCATTTGATCAACTTTTTTTTACTTTGGACAGTTCCGGCTATTTATTTATTGCCACAAGAATGCTGATCTCTTAATCTCCTGGAAGTCTAAGAGGATGATATTCCTAAAGCAAGCATAGTTTGTAATTTGCAAAGCAGCTGCCAAGTTATATAGAGATTCGCTGTTGCTTCCTTTCCTTACTTTGGTGCTGAATTGCCTGACTAGGCTGCTTCTTGGCTGATTTCCAAACCTTATAGTGCTCAAAAATCAAATTTATTGGTGCTCGTTGAGTGTTTGTTTTACTGTTTTCCAAAAACTGTTGCCCTTAAATTAAGGGCTCAGTCAAATAAGATTGGGTGAAATATTATATGTGAAGGCACACCGAATAGCCGTTGCTTTCTAAATTCAAAAAAAGCCTAAAAGAGAAGCCTAATTAATGCAGAGGATCAGAGAAACAGATAGCTTTATTTTCCTTACCACTGGGAATATTGACTTTCAACCTTCATCTGGCCATACATGAGACTGATGTTTCCTTCCTCAAAGAAGGAGGAGGAGGAGGAGGAGGAGGAGGAGGAGGAGAAGAAGAAGAAGAAGAAGAAGAAGAAGAAGAAGAAGAAGAAGAAGAAGAAGAAGAAGAAGAAAGAAGAAGAAGAAGAAGAAGAAGAAGAAGAAGAAGAAGAAGAAGAAGAAGAAGAAGAAGAAGAAGAAGAAGAAGAAGAAGAAGAAGAAGAAGAAGAAGAAGAAGAAGAAGAAGAAGAAGAAGAAGAAGAAGAAGAAGGGGAAGGGGAAGGGGAAGGGGAAGGGGAAGGGGAAGGGGAAGGGGAAGGAGGAGGAGGAGGAGGAGGAGGAAGACCATAGATGAAACAACTATCCGACAACTGGACAACACAGGTGGTCCAGCAGCAAGACCCGTCAGCCTGTTGGAATTCTGCTTATCACTAACATCCAAAGGCTAGTGTAAGTCTAGAGCAGGGCTGGGGAACTATGGTCCCTTTATGACTTGTGGACTTCCTCACAGAGTTCCTGAGTCAGCCATGCTCAGGAATTTTGGGAGTTGAAGTCCATAGGTCATAAAGGAGCCATAGTTGCCCAGCCCTGGTCTAGAATGTGTCTAGAATGTCCACTGGATGTCTGGGGCTGCAGTACCAAGAAAAATGCTATTTTCATTCAAAAATCTGGTTCAGCTTGCCTCAGCATATAAATTTAATAATTTATTATGGTTGGTTGCATAGTCAAATGTTTAGACTGGATTAGGCATTTTTGTCTCCTTATTCAGAGAACATGGGATAAGTAGTTGTTGGTCTTTAACATCTATAACATTATTAGACTTTAGTCCAAATTCCGTACATTCTAGGACTGGGAATTTTCAGTCTCAAATCAGATGGGTCCTCGTGATTATTTGTGCAGTTCTGTTTTTTTCCCCCTCTGCAAGCATTGTAGCTTCTACCATATACTATAAGAGCATTTTCATAGTTCTGGTTGCTCTTTTTCTGCACTTTTTCAGCTCTGTAATATCAAACTATTGTTTGTTATTTTCTCATGTTGGTTATAAATCTTTTCTGGATCATCATAAAAAGAAATGATGACAGAAATATAATTGCAACACAATAGTTTTACTAGTGCACTAGAAAACAAAGCTGCTTGTAGTAAACCAGCCAACTCAGGGTCTTTTCTTATTTTTAAGCTTACCACAGGTCAAATATATTTTAGCAACCTCTTCTTTTCTGCCATATCCCCATGGCTATTTTGATGTTTGTTTCCTCTCTGGTTAATCTTTGAGGCCCCCTTTAGTTATCCTAATCTGTTCCAGAGATAAAATAATGAGTTTCTTCTTAATCAGGTTCTTGACTTTTGCCAAACAATTCTAGTTGGATTACAATTCAGTAGAACTAAAAGTAAGAACATCCTGGTTGTTTTTTAGTTTTGGCTAAAACAGAGTCCAAAGGAGACAGAGCAAGTAGGACAAGGCTGGGGCATTCCCCCACCACCACCTCTTCATAGTTAATTTGTTAGCCCACCTGTAAATCTTGCCAGCCTACTTTCCATACTTGCAGGACCTCAACAGCAGTAATGGCTTAAGGAGGAATGAAAAAGGTGGCCATGGGATGAGTTGGGGAGCAGGCAGGCCAGTCTTCTTCTTCTTGTTGTTCTTTGTGTTATTTCATCATAACGTTGGGTCCTCAGTTTTGCATTTCGCCCACCACTTCATCCAATCTGCAGCATCAACAGGGCATAAGCCTTTGGCTCGCATGTCTTCCTTCTAACAGTCCATCCGTCACTTTTTTGGTTGTCCTTGGGACCATTGGCCATCTGGGCTTGAGTCCAAGTGCCTGTCTCACAATGGATTCCACATTAGCTCCAACCACATGTCTGTACCACCACAGCCTCACTTCCCTCTTTTTGTCTGGAATTGGGACGACTTTGAAGGCTTTCTGTATGTCTTTGTAATATGATTCAGCTGTGTGACAAACATACCCCAGTGACCATCTGATCAGTCGCATTTCATTGTGTGCAGTGGCTGTTTGTGTCTCTTCATCACTGGCCAGCATTCCACTCCATATACTGTAAGAGCATTTTCATAGTTCTGGTTGCTCTCTTTCTGCACTTTTTCAGCTCTGTAATATCAAACTATTGTTTGTTATTTTCTCGTGTTGGTTATAAATCTTATCTGGATCATCATAAAAAGAAATGGTGACAGAAATATAATTGCAACACAATAGTTTTACTAGTGCACTAGAAAACAAAGCTGCTTGTAGTAAACCAGCCAACTCAGGGTCTTTTCTTATTTTTAAGCTTACACAGGTCAAATATATTTTAGCAACTTCTTCTTTTCTGCCATATCCCCATGTTATTTTGATGTTTGTTTCCTCTCTGGTTAATCTTTGAGGCCCCCTTTAGTTATCCTAATCTGTTCCAGAGTTAAAATAATGAGTTTCTTCTTAATCAGGTTCTTGACTTTTGCCAAACAATTCTAGTTGGATTACAATTCAGTAGAACTAAAAGTAAGAACATCCTGGTTGTTTTTTAGTTTTGGCTAAAACAGAGTCCAAAGGAGACAGAGCAAGTAGGACAAGGTTGGGGCATTCCCCCACCACCACCTCTTCATAGTTAATTTGTTAGCTCACCTGTAAATCGTGCCCAGTGACTCTCTATGGGGCAGAATGGAGCAGGCAGGCCAGGAGATTATGATAATCATAATCACAGTACTATTGTCTATCCAACTGGGTCATCCATTCTTGAATTTCCCACCATTTTCCTTTCTCTATTTCTCTTAGGCACTGCTGCCAGTGTCCTTGGCCATAAGCCTATCATATCCAACCATTTCACTCCCCCAATTGCTCAGCATATTATTCCTTCTACTTCCACTTAGCCATCACCATCCTTAGCTGTGTTCCTGCTCTTCACCCTACTTCCAGCATTTCTGATCAGAATAGATGTGTTTTGATACAGATATGGAGCACCTGAAACAAGTTCATGGTTTTACCAAGGGTGAAGCTCAGTTCA